CACCCAACCCACCCCAGGGAAGGACATCCACCACACAGTAATCTCGTGCGTGGGAAATTACCGTCTCTTACCCCTATCCCTGCTGTAGACGGGACCTACGGTTTATTCGTCCTTATCCGAGAAGACTAGAATATCTATCCATTTCTTGATATTATATAAAAGTAGCACATTCTCCTCAGTTATTTTAAGAGCCTGAGTGTTGGTCCGGCCGCGGCTTGAACCCTCTACCTCCTGCACAACGGTCCGGCGCTCTACCAATTGAGCTAACCAGGAGGTTGTCCCACTTAGAATTTGAATATTTGCGTTATGTGTTACAGTAAATCTTCCACCAAACATCACTACCCCATCCCTGAGATACGCCCTTGTTGGAGAAGATCTTCTGCTGCAATTAGAAGGAGAAGACCCTGAGAACAGACCATTCGTGATAACAATGATAGGCGGAAGTCCTTCCTTAGCCTCATTTAGCGACAGCAATGTTCTTCAATGGACACCTAAGAATCCTCATTCGACGAAATTCCATTTCAAAGCTATTGACGAATGTAACGCTTCATCCTCATTCAACATGACTATAGAGATACTGACGTGCCCCTGTACCGACAAAGGGACCTGCGTGCCACATGCAAATCACCCCAGAGGATCAGGCAAGTACTATTGTGAGTGTCAACCTGGCTACGAAGGACAAACCTGTGAGAAGGAAATCGACGAGTGTTTACAATCTCCATGCGTTCACGGTACGTAATCTAAAGAAAAACTTGTCAATCACTTTTTAATCACCCAAATGGAAATATTGTAATTTTTCTTATAGCTTACAGGTGTGATCAGAGTTTTCAAGAGTGCGAGAGCAACAAAAGCACTTGAATCTATCCCGCTTCCAACCTGGTAAAATACAATTTATGTAAAATACAGGCAAACTAAAAAACTGATGAAAATACAAAGAATTAATAAAATCTTAACTCACTCTAGGTACTTGCATAGATGCCGTGAATAACTATTCCTGCCAATGCCTGTCCGGTTACACTGGTTACAACTGCACCATAGATTTCGATGAGTGCCAATCTTCTCCTTGTATTAATGGTAATGAAAGGTTTATTGCTTTAATGGGTTTTTCAACAATCCGGCACTATTGTTTGTCGCTAATAGTAAGAAACTTCACATTATAGGTGTCTCGTTTTAGCGATAGATTATGATGGAACTCAGTCGACTCAACAATTGGCAGTGGCTTAGTGTGGTCTGCCCTCTTATCGACAACGATATTCTGGCGTCATCACAGTGGTCGAAGTGTTGTGGACTGACGAGGCGCTGCCAACTGAGTCCGCAACAAACTTTGACCATTGTGATGACGGATGTCGTACTACATAAGGGTACGGACCACATTGAACCACTGTCATTTAGTTTTTAACCACAGTGTCGACGTCAAATTTACGAGTCATCCTTGTTTGAGAGCCGATAACAGGCATTGCGTGACACGTTGTCTGTACTCTTATCGACAAAAGAAAATTGGCTAATCAAGTTGCGACATGACTTCCAATTGTGTTAAAAATACTTCTTTAATTCTGTAAATGATACTCTTTTGGGTATCTTTGGATTATCTTGGATTTTGAACTGATGAAAGGTGAGCCGCAAAAATTGGATCTTTTTTAGATATTATTTGATCAATGACGCTCGAAGAGCTTAGATCATTCTTGTACTGTTAAAAGGTTGTTTCCTTTTTTTTTCGTTCATATTTTTTTCGCTTTGCATCGCAGGTTCTTGCTTAGATAGGGTAAATGGCTTCAACTGCAGTTGCCAGAGTGGTTTTTCTGGGGATCGGTGTGAAGAAAACATTGATGATTGCACCCCCGTCTGGATGCGGAAATGGTAAGGGGTGACACTCAGAGTTTAAACCTATTTTTTTTTTATTTGCCTTTCTTTTAATCAGCACTATTCGAAAGTTTTTATTTTTTATTCCTTAGAATTATTTTTTGAAATATATTAAAGTTGATACAGCAACCAGGTGGACAATCAGACATAGTTTGACGCTACTCTTTTTTAAAGATTTGATAAATGTAACCGGGGAAATTATAATTCATCGATCCAACGTTTTGACACTCCTGTCTAATGCCTTCATCAGGGGTGATCTGATCGTTGCAACAAGAGGCCCTTTGACATGCTCATTAATTAGCTGCCCTTTTTCTGACAAGGTGTAAATAAGCTTCAGGTGGTAAGCCGCAATCATCACGATTTAAAGGAGCGTGAGCGGAGTTGATATCCAAAGCTTCCAAACAAAGGCACTGATGGTAGCGACGATTAGTGGTGATAATTTTCGAATTATCCCATCCACTTGTATGGTTAGTTAAGCATATGTGCTCCGACAAAGCTGAATTTTTTTTTTTTTTTCGCAAAAGAGAACCACTTTCTGATGCTCTTTCAAACGTGCACCAAGCTGACGTTTGGTCTGTTCGATATACTCGTTATCACTGTCATTGCATAGAATAGAATAAATAGCGTCGGTTCGTTGTTCTTTCGTAACATGATCATTAGGTTTTGTAAAAATATGTCGAAAAGTCTGGAAAGTTTTTTGGGGAAATTTAACGATATGGCTATTTAAAATTCTCTTGATGGGCTCCGTGAACAGCAAAACCAGTCGCTGGTTTCTTCTCATCAGGAGTATTACAAGTTGCCACTGGTTTCTGGCAGTTAGAGAGAAACGTTTTGGTATAGTCATTTGCCTTTGGGACATCGTAAACAAATTTTCTCTCCTCAACCTTGGAAACAAGTAAAGACGGTAGACAGTCAGCCCTTCTGAGTAATATGCACTAAAAAAATATAGGTCATCGTGCTCGTTCAAGAGCTAAAGACCTTTGTATCTCTTTACCTGGTCCATTGATTGAAAGACGATACCGTGTTATCGGAATGCGCGTGGCTTATTCGGCTGAGTACGTGATTTTCACGCGCAGTACAGGATGCGCAGTGCAAAACTAAGGAATCACTTAATGCATTATTCTTCTATAAAACATCCGGTTTTACCCATCCTTATCATGGCTCAAAGTTATGTATCAGACCTCAATACGCCTATTTTACTTTCTTGAAGTTGATCCCTAATATAATTCTTATTTTAGACTTTTTCCTTAGCGGGAATTATTATGAGATACAAGATGCCTCTACCCAAACCATCAAACGGAACCCAAATTACGCGATCGACAAGACAGCTAAATTAACTATCTTGTGCTCATGTTACATTAAATCTTTCATCATTTTCATCCCAGGAACGTGCATAGATCTTGTTGACAATTACACCTGTCAATGTAATGTTGGGTTCGCTGGCCAACATTGTGAAGTAATCGTTCGCAACTGTAGCAATGATTCATGCTTCCAAGGAGTACTTTGTATTCAGAAAACATACACAATTTCCTGCGGACCTTGTCCAAATGGATTTACTGGTGACGGAAAAACATGCATAGGTAGGACGATAACGTTCTTGCAGGATAAATGCAACCACTGCTGTATCTATGTATTCCAAGTAACCAGTAACGATTTTCATGGTTGATTGATATTTGTATAATTTTTAGCTCCCCCCCCCCTCCCCACAGCACCTTTTCATGTCCTTTGGCAGAGTTAAGCTCACCTACGAGTTTGATAATATTACTGACTTTGTTTGTTCACAAAGAATATCGACTTATCTCGTCTCATTTAAACCAGTTACAGCTCTTCGTAAATATAGCCTCGGGTAACTTTTTACTAAATTAAATTTCAGAAAATTATTCATTATTTTGTAAACAGACATAGATGACTGCATGAATCATCGATGCAGCAACAGTGGATCCTGTGTCGATGGTCTTAATAACTATACTTGTAATTGCTTGGAAGGATACACTGGAAATCACTGCGAGATTGGTACTGTAAAAAGCTGACTAAATTTGTTGATCAAGCCGCTTTTTATTTTCATTGTTTCAAAGCTTAAATTACATAGAAAGACTAGGTTTGTTTTTTTGCATGCTACCTATTCATGTTTTAAAGTAATCAAAATTGTATCAAGTACCTTGATCTTTACTCGAGACAAATCTATTTAATGCAGCCCAAAAGTCCCCCCAAAATTGAATTTTTCCAAATATTCGAGAGATTCAAACCAAAAAAAAAGACCTTCAACTGATATTAATACAAAGTCTTAGGATGTTTTCTTACTGAGTCTCAAAATGAAAGAACAACAAAACAGAAAAAAAAACAAAGCAAGGACATCAACAACAACAACAACAACAAAACAGCCAACGTTTCAAACGAGTGAGATAGATCTTGTCGCTCAACAACAATCATTTTAGTACCGAAAACTCTATCATCAATTAATGATCTTCTTTAAAGGTAAATTGTTGCCTGTCATGATTAAAGATAACCTTGCGGCGTTTTAGGCTACCAGAGTTTCACGAAATAAGGTTTTTAATCTTCTGCATTTGATATCCCTTTACAGACATCGACAGATGCGTGAACCACACCTGTCTTAACGGTGCATCATGTATAGATGGTATCAACAACTACACATGTAACTGTGCACCAGGGTTTACTGGGGATCTCTGTGGTACAAGTAAGTCACAGACAATGGATCTGCTGTGATCGCTAATTTTTTATTTTTATTTTTAATTCACTTGTTTCATATGTAAATCTGTTGCATGCCCTTATCTATTCATTTACTCATAAAACCTTAGTAGGTTACGTGTACGTACATTTTTTGTATCTGATACCTAAGTTTATAAACCCCAAAATACCTGGGATCGGCTTTTGTCAGCTTACTGAGAAAACGGCCCTTTTCCCTTCTTGGTGATCATTTATAATTTACTTACATTACTTCTATTTTTGTATCAACTGATCATAATGTTGATATAAAGTCATCACAAACGTGTGCAGCTCGGGTAGTTATAGACGTAACAAAACATTTGGTGCTCAGCAGTAATAGCTACATCACAAATGTGTAGTCGCTAAGAATCATACTATAATATAAAACGTAGCTTTCAACGTAAAAACGCCCGAAAATGAGTCATTAATTGTCTGAGACGCCCCCCTTCTTCCTTGTTTGAGCGGTACTTGTTAAGGAGCATTGAGTTTTGCGTTAATTTAGTCTAAAAATACTTGGTGAAACGACGCCAGTGTCATTCTGGTGGCTATTAAAAGGAACGAAACTAAGCAAAATATGACTAAAATACCGTGTCAATTGGTGATGATGATGCTAGTGATGGCAGTATTAGTAGTATCAGCAGCAGCAGCAGTGATAGTAATAGTTGTAGGATAGTAGTAGTAGTAGTAGTAGCAGTAGCAGTAGCAGTAGCAGTAGCAGTAGCAGTAGCAGTAGCAGGAGCAGGAGCAGGAGCAGCAGCAGCAGTGGTGGTGGTGTTAGTAGTAGTGGTAGTAAGCTAGCTAGACTATTATACACTTTGAAAGACATGACGGTAGAGGAAGCATTTGCTCTGAGAGCATAGCTGGCCTCTGAATGGTGTATGCGGCCGGCGTGATCATGCTTTATGATATTGTACCTTTTGAAAAGCTACCACTTTTGGAATTCGTATTCAAAATTTACAGGGAATGTTATAGTTTTGTCGATGGAAAAACCATTTCTCGTCCTTATTTATGGTTCAGTTGGCAGTTCAGGTACACACTGTCCGATCTCACCAACTCTATTATAAACACTTGTAATACGGGACACTCCAAGTCGGACATACAAATAAAATTTTTATACCCTACTTTGTAGATCGAGAAGTAGCTATCATATTATTTGTCAGTATTCGCGCTTTGACAGCGGCCATTTCTGGCTTCAGATTCTTTGCGTTTGAACTATTGGATATCTTGAAAAATATATGGACTTAAGAAAGCTGAACTTAGGCTGAATAGGCTTCATTGAGAAGGGTATGTGCTCCTACATTTTTTCTTGATTATTCTTGATTTTTTGGCAGTTTGTTTTGGTACAACAAATAGGTAATAGGACTTCTTATCGTAAAATTCAGGGGCACTCGTGTTCATAATTTAAAATCACTTGTCTGATTGTCTGGCTCTTGTTCTCCATTCAGTTCTATTACCATTATTTACCATCATTACCAATGATATTGATTCTTGCCAACATCATCACTGATATCAATGTCATTGTTTATAAGTTAACAGAATTATTATTATTTTTTCATTATTGCTTCATTTTTATTTTTACCATTTTTCAGACATCGACGACTGCGTGAATCACACTTGTAATGTTATCAGTGGTTCCTGCAAGGATGGCCAGAATAGCTACTCGTGTATCTGCCTGGTTGGTTTCACTGGAGATCACTGTGAGACAGGTTAGTACATGTATATCTTCAATGCAATTCCAAAATTTGACCAGTCAATGATTTTTTTTAACAATGTTGTGGTTGAAAATGTTACTTTTTAAAGGAGAGTGTCCTCTGTTTAAAATTATCTTTCCTTTTCAGATATAGATGATTGCGTTAACCACACGTGTGCTAATGGAGCGACGTGTGTGGATGGCACAAATAACTTTTCATGCAATTGCCTACCTGGCTATTCTGGTGAACGGTGTGAGACTGGTGAGGTTCAGGCTTGTGGCCAAAAATGTCTTTGAGAAAATTTTTGCCTTCATTGATTTTGCCATTGTTGTTTTGTCCTGACAGCCGGTGTTGAGGCCATTCTGATTGATTTCGACCTCTCACTCCAATTTTCATAAATGTTTAGTTGACATAAACAAAAGGTCAATATGGAAAAAGAAGTGTCGCTTCTGTTTGTTTATCTCTAGTTATGTATTTCTCTCCAAAACCTTAGCTATCACTATGCATTCGACACATGTGAGCACGCTTAACCCCTATGTGACTACAATGGGCTTGAGCTCTACGTCAGCGAAAAGTGGTTTGTATTCTACGCATGTGGTTATCGACACAATTACAGAATCCAGTAAATTAAATCCAATACGCACAACATCTGCAATTAAAGAATCCATCGTGTCGTCTTTAGTAGTCAGAGACATGCCCACAACTGAGACCTCTCCTACTACTGTAACTCCATCTCAGCCGAAAAAGTCAGAAAACCAGGAAACGGGTACGTACACGTTCGCATGCATATTTTGAGTTACTTCTTTATGGACTGAAAAACTTTGATTATATAATCCCTCACGTCTGCCTCAGATTTGACATCTTTTCTATCCAATACTAACAATATCGATCTTTCGTTTCAGTTGTTTTCGTTCTTTTTTTTTTTTTNAAATGAATAAAGGCTGATAGTTTCGAAAGAAACTGTTTGGGGCTGCGTCGGTGGGAGTAACGAAATAATTTGGATATATCAACAAAGTTGAAATGGTAAATTGGCCACCGTAACGATTACAAAAGCTGACGTTTCGAGCGTTAGCCCTTCGTCGGAGCGAATAGAGGAATTGTGGGTTGTGTGTGCTTTTAAAGGCAGAAAATGGAGCTACGTTATTGGTGGGAACATGGCAACGAGAAAAACAAGAATAAATTAGTGGAATGAAAAGCGTTCGTTGATCCCTGTGGGATTTAGACTGCCGGTTTGAAAGATGAGCTTTTGTTCAAGATTTTTACGGCTTTCCGTGCTACCTAAGTGTAAGGAAAGACCGCAGATTGCCATATGTTGCTTAGAATGATTAGGTAAATTAAAATGTCTAGCGACTGGTTTCGATGTGTCCTTGTCATTCCTTTCCACGTCTCGAAGGTGTTCTCGGAATCGGTCACCTAGTCTTCTGCCTGTTTCGCCGATGTATATCTTTTTGCAATAAGTGCAAGTTATGCAATAGATTACATTGGCGGAGGTGCACGTGAAGTGATCGGTGATCTTAATGGATCGTTTAGGTCCCGATATTTTATCAGTGTTGTGAATGAAAGGACACGTTTTGCATCGTGCACGAGCGCATTTAAAAGTGCCTGGTTGGTCATTAGTCTGAAAAGAACTTCTGACCAAAAAATTGCCTATGTTTTTGTCGCGTTTGAATGAAATGAGCGGAGGCTGCGAAAAGATAGTGCTTGTCTCTGGATCGTTTTGAAGTAATTTAAAGTTTTTAAGAATGATGGATTTAACTGAGTGGTTGTGAGGGTGAAACGTGAGAGTGAATGGAATGCGGTCGGAATCTTCCTTATGCGACGTTTGTAGTGCTGAATGTCGATCAGTAAGTTGAGCGCGGTGGTAACCCGCTTGAACGCCAGAAACAGGGCAACCACGTTTATGGAAGAACACTACTACGCTTAGCCGAACTAGTGCTCACACTCAATTGTTTTTCATTGACAAATGCTTTATGTGAGGCGATGGAAACATACAGACGAAACATCAAGAGTAACCTGAAGTTTTATGACTGCTTTGAGTCAACTTTCAAAACGGAGGCAGATCTTCTTCTCAGGCTGGGCAGGTAACATCTCTATATTTCACACGATTTGTCATTGGCTGTAGACGTTCTGTACGTGTGTATAACAATAAGATAATTCGATAAGGTACCAAACGATGGTTATTGATCTGAAGTCCTTGTACATGTAGTTTTGCTTCAGTTTTTTCCCGCGTTTTATTTCCCGCATTAATTAATAAAAGTATGAGAAAATTAGGTTGTTGACCGTGGCGAGGACAGCGGATAAAGGCTTGCTTTTAGTTACTACAAGCATTTTCATACGTGAGTCCCCCTAAAAAACGTTGAAGCATAATTCAACGTTCCCAAAGAAATAATACTGAATATAAAGGAAGCGTGCAAGTGTTGCTGGTAAAGACGCTTTCTCTTGCAATATTGTGGCCCAGGACTTGAGGGTCTGCCTGTCACGCAATCCTTACTGAACATTTCAAAACACTGGAGCTGAGGGCAGTTCACGGCAGCAAATACACAAACAATATTTGGCGCTGATGCACGGTAGGTACAAATTGATAAACAGTACTCAAACGAAAGTGTAAATATGGCAAAAATATTTACTTTAGGGTTTGTATCCGTCCTCGGCCTCTTCGAACTGGGCAGTGTTACATTTTGGCCCGTTTTGTTTCGAAAGTAAGCGCTAAAACTTTTTAAATCTCAGTTAACCTGAGCAGCAAAAACGACAAATGTTGGTCAAAGGTAACTTTTTATTCCGATTGGTAACGATATTTCGCTCCCAAAGCGGCCTGTTGTCTTTTCCACGTGAGCATTGTTGATTTTTCACCTCCGATTGCGTGACAAGGAATGGCGCGTTTTGACCTCTGAGTCGCTTTTGTTTGGCGTCCTAAAATTTCGTAGTTTGAGTAGCCCAAAAATTTTATTGGAGTTATTTCAAGAAGAAACCTTGTTCTTTCGCTGGATTAACTTGATATAACCCCATGCCATGTACCCCATGCCATGTACCCCATGCCGTGTACCCAATGCCATGTACCCCATGCCATGTACCCCATGCTATGTACCAAGGTGCGACTTTACCCTGTCGATTTTGCCAACTTTTTGTCCGCCAAAATGAGTGAATTATTGGAAAAAATTCCCCAAAAATTTAGATTGCAACGGAATCGAACAAAGAACACTTCGGAATGTTTTTAAATATGTCTTCTTTTCATTAGGAAAATGTTTGGTCACATTTACCGTTTTGTTTATTTTCAAGCGACGTCCAAATAATGGTTGTCTAAACCTCGTGAAGCTGACGTGAGAGCCACAAAACTGATTTTGCCGCTGTTCGCAAAAAATAAAAATGCAATTGAACTCAAAGTATTTCTTCTAGAAACAGTTCATCCAGACCTATATTATGGCAAATTTTGGGGATTTTCGATTTTTTCATATTGTACACCTCCGGGCGATATTTACGGACGGCCGCTCTTCAGCTCTCAATATGGAGTAGAGGGAAGGGGTGGGAGGAACTCTGGCGATTGAGAGTAACTTTCCTCAAATTTTGACAATTATATATATATAGTTAGTTATATATATATATATATATATATATAGCCAATCT